TTTTTTGAAAAATTAGCCAGGTGTGGTGGCACACGGCTCTAGTACCAACGCTCTGGGAGCTCAGAGGTTGAGGCAGGAGGATCACTTAAGGCTAGGAGTTCAAGACCAGCCTGGGCAACATAATGAGACCCCATCTCTACAAAAAATAGTTTTGAAAAACGAGCCAGGCTTGGTGGCGCACACCTGTAGTCTCAGCTGTTCAGAAGGCGGAGGCGGAAGGATGTCTTGAGCTCAAGAGTTTGAGGCTGCAGTGAGCTATGATTGTGCTGCTGCACACCATTCTATGTGGCAGAGAGACACCCTGTCTGAAAAAGTAAATAAATAAAAAATGTCACAAACACTGGCTGTGACAGGCGGTCGGACGTGGAGATGAGCGTTGTTGTCTCTTTCTGTCTCTGGGTCCGGGTTCCCCGTGGCCGCGTGTTAGCTCTGTGACGTAGCAGGCGTGCGCCTCGGGTGCACACGGAGCAGGGTGCCGGGTCGGGCGGGTCGGTAGGAGCCGCTTCCTTTGGGTCAGGTTCACCCACTTAACTCTGACCTCGAGGAAACCGTCCCGCCCAGGGTCAGCGCCACGATGCCGGCTGTGCCAGTCACACCTGGAGACGCTTCTCGTGCCGGTTCCAGGGGTGGGCAGCCGGGCAGTGTCTGCCACAGTTAGACGGAGCTAGAAGTTTATCCTGTGTCTTTGCGGCGTGAAGGTCTGTTTGCAGTGGGAAGATAGGCAGTGTGTGTCCCCTGCAGCTTGTTTGTGACAGAACGACTTCAAACACCGAGGGATTAATTACACCTGCTGTGGTGGTGCCTCAGGGCCTCCGCACCTGCTGTTCCCCATGCCAGGAATGCTCTTCCCCCAAGTACCTCTTGGCTCCTCTCACACTTGTTCCAGGTCACCTTTTCAGAGGGCTCATCAGCAGGGATCCCCTGACACCCCATCTGATGAACTGGGGCCTCAGCCGCACCCTCCCCTTCCCCGTCCCACTCCCCCTCCCCCCAGCCTCTGCTCCATCCTGCTTCTCCATCCCTTCTCAGATGACACTGCTGTGTTTGCTTGGTTTTTGTTTGTTTTTGAGACACGGTCTTACTTTGTCATCTGGGCTAGAGTGCAATGGTGTCATCACAGCTCACTGTAACCTCCAACTCCTGGGCTCAAGCAATCCTTCCGCCTCAGCCTCCCGAGTAGCTGGGATAACAGGCGTGCACCACCACGCCTGGCTAATTTTTTAAATTTTTTGTAGAGACGGGGTCTTGCTATGTCACCCAGGCTAGTCTTGAACCCCTGGCCTCGAGCAGTCCTCCCTCGGCCTCCCAGAGTGCTTGGATTTCAGATGTGAGCCACCACGCCCAGCCCACGTTTGCTTGTCTGTTCCTCTCCCCCACTTAGAATGGGGACCTCGTGAAGCCAGGGACTCCGTCTGGCTCACTGCCCAGGGCCTGGTGTGCACACAGTAGGAGCTCAGCATTTGTTGGAATGCCACGAGTGGGATTTAGCTGTTGAAACCAATGTGCTTGAGGGGTTTGCAAGGCCAGGGCTGATGTCCTTTGTGGGAGACACAGAAAGACAAGCACTTGAGGATGTTGTCGCTCGGTGGCACCGGCAGGCTGGAGAGAGGAGGTTCTGTGCAGTGTGACACTGCCCCGGGGGTGTGGCCAGAGGGGTGCCAGCACCGGCCCAGTGTGTGCTGGGCACCATCGTGTGACCTGAAGGTCAGGTTGCTGGACCACCAACCCCTAACCCAACCTTTCGTCACCTGTGGTTTTTGTCACTGAGTGCGTATGAGTTTTTTAAATCAAAAAGTTTAAGAGTGATTCTTTGAGGTACAGTCTCTTTGTGGTTGACACGGGCTAGCACTTGCCCCGCTCCGTGGCGTCTGCATGGGCACCGCGGCGTCCTCTCGGGGGCACGTGCTCCCTGTGGCTCAGGGCGGTTTTCTCAAGGCAGGCGAGGCTGCCCGGCCCCCGGTTTCACAGTTCAGGCGGGAGCTGGGTGAAGTTCGCCTGTCTCCGGCAGCTGTAATGGGGGTTTTCTGGGAAACCTGGTGAGTGAGCGGCATCGGAAGGGAACAGCCGGCAGCTTCAGAGAGAGCTGTTTCAGTGCAGTCGTTTTCCTCCTCCAAATGCAGAGGCCGACGGCAGTGGTCTGGACATGCCAACTCCACCGCTGCCCTGCGCAGCACAGCGCAAGTCGTCCCTGGCCCGGCCGCTGCCCCTGGGCTGGGCCCACTTGCAGCCGGCAGGACCGGACGGGGTCTGCCCGGTGCGTGTGTGCCCTGCACGGCTCGCGCACCGAGCCGGCTTGCCCCCCAGCCTGTTCCGGGGCCTTCCCTTCCCCCCTGGCCTGAGTTAGCCAGGTTGTGCCTATTTGTTTAAGGAGCGGAAACTCCTTAAGATCAGCTTCTTTAAGTTAAACTAAAAGTAGGTTGAAAGTCACTCTTTAAACCATGTAGTGTCCTAATCTTAATTACGTCACCAAGGTCCAAGGAAACCTTAGTCACACTAGTGGGTCTCCCCACATGGTCCGGTGGGGCCACGGCGGTAGCACCTGAAGTTGGCCGACAGCCCTGGGCGTTGCGTGTGGCCGTCAGGTGCAGGGCCAGACGCCAGCAGAGCTGAGCACTTTGGGTGTCACAGCCAGTCTCCAGGGATGGTACCCGCCCAGGTCTTGCTGGTGGCGGTGGGGGGAGCCGTGGGACCCGCACCCCACGGCGGCCCCTCACCGGCGGCACTGCCTGACACCTGCGCAGGGGTGGGGTCTGCGTGGTGGGCGTGGCCGCTCTCTGATCCCCGCCCCCGCTCCCCGCAAGGCATGAAGACCAAGCACGCGCTGCGCCACCACATGAAGCTGCACAAGGGCATCAAGGAGTACGAGTGCAAGGAGTGCCACCGCAAGTTCGCGCAGAAGGTCAACATGCTCAAGCACTACAAGCGACACACGGGTGAGTCCCGCAGCCGCCTCGGTGGCAGGCGCCAGGCGGGGAAGCAGGCGGGCGTCCCGGTGGACACGTCATGCGAAAGGGCCACCTCGAGACGCCGCCCTTTCGCTGGGTTTTCTGGGTGACCCCCCAGAGTAGTGGGTAAGCAGCTGCATGCGTCAGAACTTCGCTCCCAGGGGCCCTGTCACACGCAGCCCCGTGCACACAGGAGCTCAGCGTGCTGCGCAGCTTTGTCGGGGCGTCTGGCGATACCCGTCAGTTCTTAGCTGTCCCCCATCCACTCAGCCGTCTTCCCTGCGGGCGTCTGTGCCCAGGACACGGTGCTCAGCGCAGGGCCAGAGAGGCATCTCAGTGTGAGCTCTGCAGCGGGAGCCCACGCCATGGTCCCCAGGGCCCCTAAACCACATGTCGAGTCCTACCACCATCTGACCCCCTCTCCCCAGGGCGGCCCAGGCTGCCACGTGGCTCTGCCGTGGGTCCCCTGGCGTGTGGGCGCCTGCACTTTTCCGGAGCCGCACCGTCCTCCTCTTTCCTGGGGGAGCTCTATCCGTTACTCACTTTGCCTTTTCTGGGACACTCTCCTGCTCCCCAGAACTGAGCCACGTGCCCTCTCTGGGTTCTCAGAACACCCCACACTCTGCCTACCGCCCGCCTGCCAGCCCACTGGGCTGTGGTGGCCTCTGTCCCATCATCCCAGGGCCCTGTGCACACGAGGTGCTCAGTGAACTCTCGCAGGAGTGAGGGCACCTTTTAAAATCCCTCACCTTGTTTCCATTGTTTGGGGGGAAACCTTTGTTTAAAGGCATCCTTAGAGGCCACCTCCCATCAGTCTGGGGAGTGGAACAGGGGCTGACTCCATCCCCTCGCCCAGCCGAAGGCGGACGCGGACCCACCCTGCTCTGGGGCTTCAGTCCCGCCCTGGGAAGGGACGTTTCAGAGCCCTGTGCATGGGGGCCGCGGGGAGGATCGGGGGCCTCTGGTGTCCGTGTTACAGTGTCTGCTCCCGGCTCTTGCCGGGCCAGTCCCAGGCCAGGACTGACTGAGCACTTACCTTTGAGTCAATAGAGAGTCAGATCAGCTCTGATTTAATCATTATAGTAAAGGTTCTTTTTAACCATATTAATTTTGTGCAACTGTAGCAATTCCATTGTCTCTCGTGCTTGGTGTGCCTCTGCTCTCCTTGCACGTGGTCCTGATTTCAGTTATTACTCCAGCTCTCCTTGTGTGTATCATGTATGATGCCTGGATCTTTTTGCGCTGAGGGGGGTGTAGATAAATGAATGCATTAAAGTGGTTGTTTTCCTCTGTGAGTCCCACCCCACCTGTGTCCTCAGAAAACTTCCCACATCTCATTACTTTTTGACATGAAATGTTGCCGCCGAGGGTACGTTTCTCAAGCCCCACTTGCGCTGAGTGTGGGGATGGATGTTCGCGGTCTGCCGTCCCCTGGCAACTCACCTTCTCCCGGCGCTGCAGTTACTCACGCACGTCAGGGTGAGACATCCTCTGGTGTGACTCAACTTCAGACGCTCATCAGACACGTGGAATTAAGCGTGCCTTTTTCTGCAGGGATTAAAGATTTCATGTGTGAGTTGTGTGGAAAGACCTTTAGCGAGAGGAACACCATGGAGACGCACAAGCTCATCCACACCGGTGAGTGGGCGCCATCTGGGGAACCTTCCGGCTGCAGGCCACCATCTGGTGGGGCTGTCGGAGCGCATGCAGGGGTGGACACACCTGTTCTGTTACATGGACTTTTCCAGAATGGTCAGTGCTGTCTTGGCTTAGCAGTGACCATTGGCCCTCTGAAAGTCAGCCCGCTGCGGCTTCAGTGTCCATTCCCGAATTGTCAGACACCGGCGGGTGCAGACGGGGCTCCGTGGGGATGAGGGCCGCTCGCCTGTGTGCATCTCGACCTGACCCGCCCCGCTGCCTGCACTCACTTGTCTTTCCCTCCCCGCCTGCGCGTGCGTGAGAAGTGGGCAAGCAGTGGACGTGCTCCGTGTGCGACAAGAAGTACGTCACCGAGTACATGCTGCAGAAGCACGTGCAGCTCACGCACGACAAGGTGGAGGCGCAGAGCTGCCAGCTGTGCGGGACCAAGGTGTCCACCAGGGCCTCCATGAGCCGGCACATGCGGCGCAAGCACCCGGAGGTGAGTGCGGCGGCCCAGCGCCTTCTCCCTGCCCTCCGCAGCGCAGGTCTGGACACCCCACCCGTGGTCTGTGCGCGCTTCCGGGTCTCAGACACCCCACCACGCTGGCTCAGGGATCTGTCTCCCTCTGCAGACCCTGAGTTCCTCGAGGCAGGGCCTGGGTCTTGGGTGCCTCTGCGCGCACTGCCTGCCACGTGGAGGTGCAGAGCGGTGAAGAAGGTGGGGTAGAAGAGCCTCAGTGTGCTTCTTGCTAAGGTTATAAACCGTATTCCCCCTGGGGTCAGGGCGAGATGGATGCACAACCTGCCCCTCCCCTGTTCTTCCCTCCAGAGTAGCCAAAGTGCAAAACAGGGTCCTCGTTGTGGTGCTGGGCCAGCTAGAAAACAGCGTTGAGGGCCGGGAGGCAGAAGTTGTTGGGAAGCAAGAGGAGGCCGGCTCGCTTGAAAGCCTGTTCTGTAGGAAGGCCCAGGGATGTTCAGTAGTCAGATGTGTTTTCAAAGAAGCAAACCGACAAAGCAAGGAGAATACAGGGAAATAGTTAGAGCACTGCAAGGGGAAGACTTTCTGAGCGGAAAAGCAGCAAAAGAAGTTGTGTATAAAATATCAATAGATTTGGGGATATGTGCACTTCTCTGTAGGTCAAAAAAGTAAGCAAAGGGCAGACTGAAAAACGTGTGTAGGCTGTTACTATCTTTGCCAGATATAAACTGTTCATACCAAAGGTGATAACCGGCCGGGCAGGGTGGCTCATGCCTGTAATCCTGGCACTCTGGGAGGCCGAAGCCAGAGGATTGCTTGAGGTTAGGAGTTCAAGACCAGCCTGAGCAAGAGTGAGACCCCCCATTTCTACTAAATATAGAAAAATTAGCCGGGCATGGTGGTGCACCTGTAGTCCCAGCTACTTGGGAGGCTGTGGCAGGAGGATCGCTTGAGCCCAGGAGTTTGAGGCTGCTGTGAGCTGATGCCATGGCACTCTAGCCCAGGCAACAGAGTGAGACTCTGTCTCAAAAAATAAATGAATAAATAAAGTTGATAACCGCTCGATGAGAAATGCAAGAGGAACCCAGCGTGTAGCTGGGCACCGTGGTGTGCGCCTGTAGTCCCAGCTGCTCGGGACACTGAGGTGGGAGGGCTGCTTGAGCCCAGGAGTTCAGGGCCAGCCTGGGCAATATAGTGAGACCCTGTCTCAGAAAAAAAGAACCAAGTGTGTACATGGAGAGTCAGTTCATGAAAGAAGAAATACGTATGGTTTAAAAACATTCAAAAAGGCATTCAGCCTCACTGCGAATCCCAGAAATGCCAGTGTTAACGGCAGACGACACTGTCCTTCGCCTGCTGAGTTAGCAGGAGATTTTTAGATTCGAAACGACTGTGCTGGCATGAATTGGGCACTCTCACTCTGATGTTTTTCTTGAAGGTAGCGTGACAGTATTTCTTGAGTGTTTCGTAAGTTATTCCAAGCCCTCGGTGTCCTGCTTTAGGAATGTGATTAATGACAGTGTAGCAGTGTGTCTGCCTGTACACACACGCTCACAGAGAATTCTAAATAAAATGGTAAAATGCTCGTTATATAAATGAAAAAACAATCCACGTGTATATGTCACGCAAGTATATAAAATACATGTCATACACATCGTGTGTGTGTGTAATACTTATGTAATATAAACGAGATAAGTAAAGAAAGGGAAACATCACACAGTGGTTTTCTCCTGGTGTCAAACTTGTGGGTAATTTCGTCCCTTCACGTTTTTCTCCATTTTCTAGGACTCCCTGTAATGAGCACGAATTGCTTTTGCAATTATACAAGCACATTCTGCCTTAAGTGTCCGTCCAGTGATGCCTTAATTTAGAGGTGGTGAATTGCTGTCACTCTCCTCTGCAGACGGTTCGGGTCCTGGAGCTGTGCAGGGACTTGACCGGCTCTCCAGTCTGGCCGAGGGACCATGCCGGCGTGCTCTGCCCTGCTCCCTGCTCGGCGGGAAGCTCGGAGCCCCCTACGCAGGCTCTACGTATTCGCTTCCCACTTAGTGGCCAGCTAGTGTTTGCACCTGGAAAAATAAAGTCCGGGGAGCAGGCCTGAAGTGCCAGGGTCCGGGAGGCTTCCCAGGGCGGGCAGCAGGCCTGTGGGCCCATGAGCAAGGCTGGAGTGCGAGCAGTCTCCGCCTGACTGTGGGGTTTGCAGAGTGAAATGTGTTAATAAGGAGTGTGCAGACCCGGTTTGCCGGCTGGGCGTCTGACGTGCGTTGCTGGGTGGAGACAGTCCTTGCTAACAAAGTCATCTCCCACAGACGCTTTTGCCCGGCGGCCCCCTTTGCCAGGGCTGGTAACCACTTCCTCGTGGAGCACCGTGCAAGGTCACCTTCCAGTGCTCTGCCCCCGAAACCGGGCAGTGCACTCCCTTCCCTGCTCCCTCGAGTCCACGCCAGACAGAGTCAGGTGCACTGCGAGGGGGAAGCCTGAGCGACACGGGGGAGAGCGCAATGGCGGCCCTTTTGTCTGTCTGCTTTGTTCTAGAACCATTTTGTTTCTCCAGCCTTCTAGCATGTTCTCGTGGGTCGTTCCTTTTGCTCATTTCACCCATGACTGTTTCATTCTGTATTGACTCAGTCACACGCCTGCCAGTGACGAGCCAGCCAGCTCATCGCCGCCCTCCCGGGCTTCGCAGTCTGGGTGGGGCACGGAAGGAAAAAGAGAAGTAGACCAAGAGGCAGGGGCATTGCAAACTGGAATAGGTGATGTGGAAGAGGCAGCCCCGGCAGTGGCTTGAGGGGACAGGTGGGACCCCGTGGGCTTTGCTCTGGTCACGCGGGTGCTGCAGCTGAGGCCAGCTGTCCGGGAGTGTGGGGTCAGTAGTCCCCTCCAGCCTGTGGCCACTGGTGCTGTCACAGACTCGAGGAGGGAGGTGTTCCTTGGCGTCAGGCTGACATATTAAACAAACTATTTTCAGAGATTTAGGATTGATACTATTTTGTGACTTCAAGCTATGATCTTTCTCCCTACCTTGAGTGAATATTAACACTAAAAAAAATTAAAACAAAAAACACTTTTCGGCCGGGCATGGTGGCTCACACCTGTAATCCTAGCACTCAGGGAGGCCGAGGCAGGAGGGTGGCTTGAGGTTGGGAGTTTGAGACCAGTCTGAGCAAGAGTGAGACCCCGTCTCTACCAAAAATAGAAAGAAATTAGCCGGACAACTAAAACTAGAAAAAAATTAGCCAGGCATGGTGTAAGCTACTCCAGAGGCTAAGGCAGGAGGATCGCTTGAGCCCAGGAGTTTGAGGTTGCTGTGAGCTAGGCTGATACCACAGCTCTCAAGTCCAGGCAACAGAGCAAGACTCTGTCTCAAAACAAAACAAAGGAAAAAAAAAAAACTTTTCACTTTTGGTCTTATCTCCTAAGAAGAGTAAAGCCAATGAATGCATCTATGTTGGTTCTTTTGTGAAATCAGCTTTCAGACTGTGACTAGGACCCTGATGATGTTGATGGTGGGGGGCGGGGGCAGCCCCTGCAGATGGACTTGTGGTTTTCCCCAGTCTTGCGTAGCGTCTCCACAGCTAGTTCCCTTCTGTACCAACTCCTGATGTCACACACCCCAGCACATTCCACTGTCCCAGTGCTGTGCCCCTTGTCTCACGTGTGATTCAACTCAGTGATCACGGGGACAGTACAGCTAGTGTGAGCAGGGTGTGGGCGGTGGACACTGCTCACCTTGGGCAGGACTCGGTGAGCCGGTGGGAGGACCGTGTGTGCACGGGGGCGTGGTCACGGCGTGACCATCATGTGCTGAGGACACTGGTCCGTGCAGCTGCTGGAGGGAAGGCGGGGGCAGGGCGTCACTCTCTCCCAAAATTGACAAGTGAAGGTCCTTGTGTATGGACTCAGCTAAAAGTTAAGATGTTTAAGGCACAGGTGTCTTATTTTTGGTGATTCCTTGGAGGCAGGTTAACTACCCCGTGTCCTCCCTCTGCTCTTCCCTGGAAATAGCAGAAGAGCCACCACAGTCTCACCTGAAAGCACATTGCTGTGGGCAGAAAAGGGAGGAAACAGAGTCTCCACCCTCGGGGTGGACATGAGATGGTTCAAGGACAGTGCAAGACGGCACCGCCCACCTGAGGTTACCGCAGGACCTTGAATTAGGGGTGAGGGGTCAGGAAGGGTGAGCCTGGACAGGACTCTGGAGACGGTGTTTCGCGGTCGGTCCTGGGCAGAGCAGGGTCGGAGGCACGGGGGTGCCCACGAAGGGGAGTCGGTGACCCGCCTGTGTGGTGTCTGGGTTCCTGCCTGTGTCCGTGAGCGGCCGCTGGCGGGCTCAGCACTCCCCGCTCGCCGCCCCTGTCCTCGTAGGTGCTGGCGGTGAGGATCGATGACCTGGACCACCTCCCAGAGACCACCACCATCGACGCCTCCTCCATCGGCATCGTCCAGGTGAGCGGCTCGGCACAGGTGCGGGTGCTTCTAGACGAGCAGGTGCCTGCAGAGTGGGACCCGGTGGGCTCGGCCAGGCTGCGGGGGTGGCCGCTGGACAATCCCTGAGGTCTGCACCTCGTGTTGCGTGGTCGACTTTCATTCTCTGGTTTTTGGTTGATCTTTTCCCCCAGAACCTTCAAGAATATGTCCTAGTTTGTGTAAAGTTTCTATAACTTCAGTTTTTTGAATACTGGTATATCTCACTTTGGAGAATAGATGGCTTCTAGAAAAAATGAGCATAACTGTTTTATGCAAAATAAGTTTGACCATATTTATTAGATGAACTTACTTTTTTTTTTTTTTTTGAGACAGAGTCTCACTCTTTTTGCCCAGGCTAGAGTGAGTGCCGTGGTGTCAGCCTAGCTCACAGCAACCTCAAACTCCTGGGCTCAAGCGATCCTTCTGCCTCAGCCTCCCGAGTAGCTGGGACTACAGGCATGTGCCACCATGCCCGGCTAATTTTTTCTGTATATTATTTTAGTTGTCCGATTAATTTCTTTCTATTTTTAGTAGAGACGGGGGTGAGCCACCGCGCCCGGCCTGAACTTACTTTTTAAAGGAATTTTTAGTCAATACTTTGTAAAAAAAATTTTATTACAAAGAGAACATGTCGTTCTCCCAGTTGTTCAAGATGGCATGTAAACTGCCGTGTTTGGAGACGGTGCTCTCGAGCACCGTGTGGATTTAGGGGTTGGGTCACGCTGCGTGAGCATGTGGAGGTCCAGGTGCAGCCCCAGAAACCGTGAGCCGTTTCTGCCCCTGGCAGGTCGCAGGTCGCAGGCAGAGGTCGGAAGGGAAGTCCCACCACGAGCGTGCCCTGCCCAGCTCCTGCTGGGTCTGTGTGCTGCAAGGTGGGATGACAGGAAGCACGCGAGGTGTGGAGGTGGCCAGGGTGGGGCGGGTTGCCAGCCACCACTGCCCGAGGCTTCTGGGAAGCCGAGCAAGCTGGCCAAGGAGTCCGCCTGCGTCAGAAGGCCTGGCTGTGGCCCAGTGGTGCCTGGACACTAGCACAGCAGTGTGTGGGGCGGAGGCCCTGTCTGGGTTGGCCATGTAACGCTGGGCCCTCCTTTGCTGTCCCGAAAGGAGATGTCATGCGGTTTTTGTGGTCAAACCCATTTTAATCCAAAAGTGTTTTCTACAGTAAGTTGCTTCAGCCCTGGGGACTAGAACCCTGACTGACAGCATTTCAGCCTTGGCCTGAGCTCACCAGGGCTAAAACATTTCCCTTTATCCAGTGGCTTAAAAAAATTAATTTTTTTAAAGACATTTACATTTTAGCACAGAATTTGGCTTTGAAAAATATGAGGTGTGTGTGATATTCTTAAAACACTGAAACCAAAGGCACTTGCCTCGATCCTTAGAGATGCAAGTACGCACACAGCTGTGGTCACCGGTTCCCGTGGCGGCTCGGTGGCCCAGGAGCCTCCGCACGGACCCGCGAGTGTGCCGCGACGGTGCTGGGGCTGCCCTGACCAGGCGGGACGCAGCCGTCGACCTGGTCGGTCGCTGAAACGGATCTTCCCGCAGCCCGAGCTGACGCTGGAGCAGGAGGACCTGGCGGAAGGGAAGCACGTGAAAGCTGCCAAGAGGAGTCACAAGAGGAAGCAGAAGCCGGAGGAGGGGGCGGGGGCGCCGGTGCCCGAGGACGCCACCTTCAGCGAATACTCGGAGAAAGAGACGGAATTCGCGGGCAGCGTGGGCGACGAGACCAGCTCCGCGGTGCAGAGCATCCAGCAGGTTGGTCTACTCTCTGCGCTCGGCTCAGGCCAGCCGCTTCACGGGAACAGCGTTCCCTAAGCGCGAGTCTGCTCCCGTGACTCCAGTCCCTTTCCTATCCCTGCAGCCTGCAGCGTGGACCTCGCTGGCTGAAGCAGCGGAGACGTCCCATTTCTCACTCGTGTCACGTAGCTTTCCGAGTGCTGAGTGCAAATCACACTTGCCGTTAACGGCTACGTGACGCTCTAGCGTGTTGAAGAGAGACGTCTCCCCCTGGTTGGGGGTGGTTAGGTGGGTTGTTTCCAGTTTTGGGAGGTGACAGATGGCCCGCCTCAGCGCCCTTTTTGTAGAAGTGCAGCTCTGTGCACGCGCTGACCAGCCCGGGAAGCAGGACCTGGGAGCCCGAGGGTTCCTGCAGGGAGGGTTGCAGGGTGAAGGCAAGGAAGGGCGTGGCCGGCCGGTCCCGCCTCCCTGGGTGGAGCCTTGCACCGTGCTCCACCGTCATCGCTTTTGCTTCTGAAGCCCCAGCGTTGGCGCGGTCCGTGTCTGATCCCGCGCGCTGTCGCGTGCTTTTGGAGATGGTAATCCCCATTGCAGAATCCTTGCGTTCGGCCTCCCGTTGCTCTCCGTGAGGAAGAGCGCTGCGTTCTTTCTTACTAGCTGTCGGTACTGCAGATGCTTCTGTCGCCCTTTTCAGCTTCCAAGTTGGGATTTTCGTTTGCCAACAGCCAGGCAGTTTAGAGACGGGAATGGAAAAGGAAGAATCTCCTTTTTGCCATTTTCATGCTAACTTTTCTCTATTTTTCTTCTAGCCAGTGAAATCCATTTGTTTCTCGGTTCTTTCTCATTGCTGCCATGATTCTGTCTGTATCTCATTTCTCTTTGTCACTGGAATTATTTTTCCAGAACAGAATTAACTTGGTTTCCTCTTTCACCAAGGAACTTTGCGCTTCCCTCCCTCGGGCGAGGTGTGTGATTGTCCCAGCACGATACACACAGTGCCTGTGGGGAGGTTACTTTCTTCTCCATTTTGCAGAAACAATGACTGTCTTTTGTCACGTGTGACTGTTCCAGGTGGTGGTGACCCTGGGTGACCCTAATGTGACTGCCCCGTCGAGCTCAGTCGGCCTGACCAACATCACAGTGACTCCCATCACCACTGCAGCCGGGACTCAGTTTACCAATCTCCAGCCGGTGGCCGTGGGGCACCTTACCACCCCCGAACGCCAGTTACAGCTGGACAACTCCATCCTGACCGTGACCTTTGACACCGTCAGCGGGTCCGCCATGCTGCACAACCGCCAGAACGACGTGCAGGTCCACCCGCAGCCGGAAGCCTCCAACCCGCAGTCCGTGGCGCACTTCATCAATCTGACCACCCTGGTCAACTCCATCACGCCCCTGGGGAGCCAGCTCAGCGACCAGCACCCGCTGGCGTGGCGGGCGGTGCCGCAGACGGACGTCCTGCCGCCCCCGCAGCCGCAGGCGCCCCCGCAGCAGGCGGCGCCGCCCCAGGTGCAGGCGGAGCAGCAGCAGCAGATGTACAGCTACTGAGCCCGGGCGGGGGCGGGCGAGACCCACAGCGAGGGCATGTTGGATGTTTTTAGATTTGTTTGC